CTATTAAGTATGTCTATGTAGGGGGGAGTGTGCCCAAGGTCATGTATAGGGTTGGTAGAGAATGTTTCTACAAGTATATTTGTATGTTCTGTAAGAATTCCCAGGTATATAGTAGAGCTGACAAGGGACAAGGTTGTAGTCACTTCTTGGCCACAGCCAGCTACCGAGAGAGATCAAGTTGCTGGACCTGTGGGCTCAGGACTATAGTTGCAGGGGACATCAAGCTCAACTAGCATAACATACTACACAAAAACACTGTTTCACATCCTACTTTGGCAAGTAGTGACTGGGATCTTAAAAGCTTACAAGTGGACATCTAGATGCCATGATGGGTCTCTCCTCATCCAGAACAAAGAATGAAGAAAACCAAAGATTCATGGTAACAATTAGTCCAGTGACTGGTACACCATGTTTGTGATCCTTAGCCTATACAACTATGAGACCAGGAGAACGAGAGGGTGCCCAGCTTCCACTGTTAATCACTTGGAGGGGGATTAATGCAAGAGATCCTGGATAGAGTGGAAAAACAATGTGGAACAAAACTCAAAATCATTTAAAAAAAAAAGGACCAGGTTTGTTGGTCTCATAGAGCCTGGTGAAACCACCAAGACTATTGCCCCAAGTTATCTTTCAGGTCTGGATTGCCCCAAGTTATCTTTCAGGTCTGGAACTGAACTCACTCCTGTGGCTTCTAGCCAAACAACAGACAGGCATATAGAGTTAACATTTACATCAGGCAGATAGACTCCTTGGAGCAATTAATCATGGGAGAACAGAAGGGCAGTGTTTTCACAGGGAGAAGGCTTAGGGGGCAGGAATGCATGGGAGGGAAGGACAGAGGGAAGTGGTAACTACAGGGAGCAAGTGGGAAGAGAGCTGTAAAGATTTATTAAAAAAAAAAAAATTGTGCTTCATGGTTTTTTTAAATTGAGGTGAAACCGACATAACATAAAGTTAACCATTTAAAAGTGAACAATTCTGTGCCCTTTAGTACATTTACAATGTTATGCAACCACCACCTTACTTAGTTCCGAAATATTTTCAACATCCCGAAAGAAAATCCTGCACCCCCTCCTCATTCCCTCCTCTCTCCAGGCCTTGGCAACCACCAATCTGAGCTGTCTGTATGAATTTACCTATTCTGCATATTTCATATAAATGGAATCATCGAATATGCATCTGGCTTCCTTTACTGAGCACGTTTCAAAGGTAAATCAATGTTGTAACATGCATCTGTACTTCACTCTTATATTACCAAGTAATAATCTACTGTATGGATGTACCACATTTTGCTTATCCATTCATTAGTTGATGACCATTTGGGTTGTTGCCAATTTGGGGTTATTATGAAGAGTGCTGCTATAAACATGTATTTACACACAATTTTTTTTTTTACCTGGTGCTTTTTAATACTCAACTTCAGAAAAACTGAATCAAAGCATAGGGCACAGACTTGGGTAGCTTCCAAAGTTTCCCTGGTGATTCTAATGTGCAGCCAGGATTAAGAACCACTGACAATCCAGAACGAACCTAACCTCTTAGTGGACAATTAAACTTTGCTTAACCCTTTCATTTACTTCAGATGCAGTCTCTAATATTAAAGTATTTCTGTAAGAGTTTTGTATCATTTGTCACATACAATCTTATGCACAGCTGTGTACATGCATTCTCTCCAACCTGATGGAACTTTAGAAGTCAGTATAGCTATATATACTTCTTAGTATCTCCTTCAGAACAGTCAAACTATAATTAAGCCACTTGTTTGTCAACTAGACTACTTTGGGCAGGTTATCCACTTTGAAAATGTTGTATCCTTAGCACCTAAAGTGTCATACATATGGAAGATATTCAATTATTTTGCCAAATCAAGTTCTTATGGCTGCACTGGAGTTGCACGAGCCTCTCTGCAAGACAGCTTTAGAGTTTTAAATTCTTCACCCATCTCACTAGGCTTAAAATGAGCCATCCCAGAGGTGGGAAGGGAGATCTCACTACCATCTAGATAGAAAAAGTAGCTGGAAATGGAGCACATCCTTGGCCCCGAGATCCCTGCACTGAGAGGACAGAGTTGGCAGCAGTACCAACAGACCAGCACAAGACAGAGGGGCTGGTTTGGTGGCCCACGGAGCAAAAAAGCTGAGTGCCTTTGGGCAGGAGGGTTGCTGGCACAGTGCGGTGCACCTATAAACCAAAACTAAACCAAACTCACTGCCATTGAATAATGACTATCTTAAATGGGTTTAAGGTTTCATGCTGCAGTGGTTAAGGCATACGGCTGTTAACCAAAAAGTCAGTGGTTCGACCAGCTGCTCCATGGCAGAAAAGATGAGGCAGTCTGCTTCTGTAAAGATTTACAGCCTTGGAAACCCAATGGAGGTCACTATGAGTCACAATCAACTAAATGGCAGTGACTTTGGTTTGGGTTGGTTTATGTGGTTTTAATGCCCAGCACACAACAGCTATCAATAGCTATTATTACCCTTTCCTGTAGGTTAGAGCCTTCTACAAAGGTTTTGCAAAATGCTTTTCATTCTCCAAAATGTGGCTTTAATCAAAATGTCAGTGAATTGAGAATTCCATTAAGTACCACTTACCTTTGCTTTCTCTGAGACGTAGTCAAGCTATCCTCTTTTCTTTTTCCCTTGCTAATCTCTTGAGTTTTCTTCATGTTTTTCTGGCGGGCAAGTTCTCTTTGATTTCCACCTACAAAGAGAAACAGTCACGTTCTTTTTCCACCTCTGAAATTATTAACAATTCCATCAAAGGGCTCTTGTACAAATGCATCTCAAGTTTGCTTTTCAGTACACAAGCCAGTAAGTACTGCTACTGGATAGGGTTCCCAGATCTGACCACAAGGAGTAAGCCAAAAGGTAAACACTTAAGCACTTAAGTGTATTATCATACCAATCAAGGTATTCACTGGCTATAAATACCAGACCTTTTCAAACAGCATTCCAATCATCGGTTTGAGTCAGTACCCCAAAATAAGTTCTGGATTTTGAGGGGTGTAAGTGGAGAGAGAAAGACACAAAGAGCTCACACAACCGCCCAAGTTCAGCCCATCACAATCTCACCGTTTAGCTACCAAAAGCAGACAGATGTTTTAAAAACATTCCTACGAGGGCCAAACAAAAGAACTAGGGAGGAGGGGCAGTCAGAGCTCCCAGGGGTCATTAGGCCTTACGACTTTAGGTGTCATCTATAGACCAAAGAACCCCTCCAGGGCTGCCTCTCCACACACCTCCCAGGGGTGTGTTCTTTCAGACAAGTACTATGGCGCAAACCTACACCCTAAGAGGCAAGCAGCCGCCCGGCCTTTCCGGCCGGACCCAACAACCGGAGAGGGCAGGCGGTGAAACCTCGGAAAAGCGTCCGTTCTCAACTGACTGAAGATAGGATCTGTATTCTGTCCGACAGAAGAGGATTACCAGCTGTCCCCCTTCCCGCCAGCCAGCCGCGCGCCCAGGCGGCCTCAAGGCACTGCTAGATTCTGAGCACGACGGTGCTGGAGGATTCCCTGCCGCTTCCCTCACCCCTGCAGATACTCACGGGCCATGCCGACCACCGGACAGAGCCTGGAAGAGAACGACTTGAAAAAGCAACGGTTCGGTCGCACGCACAGCCGCTGTCAGCACCCGTCGATGTGGCGGCTGAACGCGTCGGCCCTTTGCGGGGCGCCGCCTCTGCGCCGTCAGCGGCCCCGCCCACGGAGACCCGACAACAGCCACCAGCGTGGCTGGCGGATGATTGCGCGTGCGCGGGCAGTCCCGCGCTGGAGCGTGAAAGCCGCAGCGCGTGGAGAACTGGTCACGCCCCTAATCCAGCTGCCGTGCACTTTTGGCAGTGTGCAGAAATCGGTTCTCCTGTCTGAGAGAGCGTGTGCGGACTTTCTCCATTGTGTACCAGGCACTGGGGTTTGACCAGCTCCATTTTCTTTTAAACAAAAGACAATAAACAGTACAATATCTCAAATTTCGACAAAGAGGTTTCATTCATTAACGTCCAGAGGCAGGAATGAGGGAAAGGGAATTGAGCAGATTAACTCTGCGAAATGCAGTGTTAACACTTCACATTTCCCTTCCTTATTCTCATTTTACAGAAGAGACTGAGCCTCGGTACCTAATATCGACAATACCTATTGTTGTTATGTGCCGTGGAGTCGGGCTGACTCATAGCGACCCCTCCTTGGGTTTCCGAGGTAGTATCACTATGGAAGTAGATTGCCCAACCTTTCTTCCGAGGAGTGGCTGGTTGGTTAGAACGGCCAGCCTTCTGGTTAGGAGTCAAGTGCCTTAGTCACTATACTACCAGAGGAATTGGTGGAAGTGAGTGTAAACAACAACAATAACAAATATTTAAATCAGATTATTTATTTCCTCCACCCAAGTTAATATATGTCTGCCCTCTAGTTAGTGGTTTACCCTTCCTTCCCCACTCACCCCTGCTAACCACCAAAGAATATTTTTTTTGTGAAACCCTTTCTTGACTTTTTACATTGTAAAGTGATCTCATATATTTGTCCTTTTGTGGTTGACTAACTTCACTCAGCAATAATGGCCTTCAAGCTCATCCGTGTTATGAGATGTTTTGCAAATTCATATTGTTCTTTAATGTTGGGTAGTATTCCACTGTATGTATGTACCATAGTTTGTTGATCCATTCCTCCATTGATGGACATTGTGGTGCAGTGAATTATTTAATATGGCTCTTCTAGTCGTGGTCTTTATGACTCCCACCAGATGACTGGGTGGAACTGTGTAAAGGTGCTTGTGGCTCACCAAGGGAATTGGATAACTTGTTAATAAAGTAAATAAGGTACATGGCACCCTTGTGTGGGTGGAACTGTGCAAATAAGATATTTGAAACCTTACTAGGGGATTGGTCAGTTTTGCCATCTCGCTAGGCTTAAAATGAGCTATCCCAGAGGTGGAAAGGGAGATCCCACTACCATGTAGACAGAAGAAGTAGCCACAGATGGAGCACATCCTTGGCCCCGAGATCCCTGCACTGAGTTGACTGAGAGTCAGCAGCAGAGGCAGCAGAACCAACAGACCAGAGACAGAGAGGCTGGCTTACTGGCCCACGGAGCAGGAAAGCTGAGTGCCTTTGAGCAAGAAAGCTGAGTGCCTTTGGGCCAGAGGCTGGCTGGTGCAGTGGGGTACACCTATAAACCAAAATCAAACCAAACTCACTGCCATTAAGTCAGGTCCGACTCATAGCTTCCTTGGGTTTCCGAGGCAGTATCAGTACAAAAGTAGATTGCCCAATCTTCCCTCCAAGGAAGGTTACCACCAGCCTTCCAGTTAGCAGTCAAATACCTTAGGTCCTACGCCAGGCTGAGAGACTGGAGGCCAAACAGAGGCATTCCTGAAGGCATGACCAGCGGTTGGGGAGACAGTGCTGTCCTCATTGAAGAATTGTATCCTGAGCATTCCTGAACCTGAGTTGTAACCTGTTGCTTCCCTAATAAAACCCATAATCAATACAATAATGAGTATTTCTGTGAGTTCTGTGTCCCAACGCAACAAATTATTGAAACTGTGGGAGGGACTGTTGGTATCAGAATCAGTAGAAAGGTTGGAGGGTGGTGGCATGACCTCTGCCTCATAGGAACCA